TGACAAACCTGAAAAAGGCCTGTTCTTCCTGTATCTATAAATGGTTTCTCAGAATTTACTGTATTAAATTATGTCAGGATCAGTTTGACCTAGATTTAAAGCACAATTTGGAAAATGCTAAGTCAGCAACCTGACACTTGGCCTTTTTGAAAGAAAAAAAATCCACAGCAGTTAAAATTAAAAATTGAGTTAGTTCCATGTAAAAAAATTCATCATGCTCTGATTTTATTCATAAAGCAATGTATAAAAGAAAGGGTATGCCTTGTGATCAGGCTTATTTTGCTCCAAAAGATTTGTTTAGCTGCTTTTTCCTTGTTACCTTCTGGGAGGAGGCTTCGTGGTATCCGAAGCAGAACATCCAGATTCAATCACAGTTTTCCCTGGTCCTTCTCGTCATTAAACTAGACATACCCAATTCCAGCAGCTGTTCCTTATATGTTTTAGCCTCCAGTCCTCTAATCATCTTTGTTGCTCTTCTCTATACTCTTTCTAGAGTCTCAACATCTTTTTTACATCGTGGTGACCAAAATTGGATGCAGTATTCCAAGTGTAGATTTACCAAGGCATTATAAAATGGTATTAACACTTCAGGTGATCTTCACATGACAACATATACATAACGAGGGAAAAAGCTACCATATCTGGGCTGCAAAAACTGGAAAACTTACATGGCCCCAAGAAATTAGAGTTTTCTGTACTTCTCTGTAGCCATCCAGGAATTGATTTTTTTTAATAGCCAGATATGGTAACAGTGTAAAACAGAAAGACCCAAAACTATGTCAGTTTGGTAATTTAAAAAGAAAACACATTTTTAGAATAGTGGCATCTCAATGCCTAGGCTCACATATTGTGACTGTTTGACATCATATGGTGCAGAAACCCACCATTAGGATTTGATTTTTTATTTAATATCGGTGTGCCATCAATTACAAGAGCAAAGACCCAGCCAGGAGCTGATTGTAGATCAGATCACAAATTGCTGGTGTTCAGGTTGTGTATTTCTGATTTAGTATGATGTGCCAGTTGGAACTCTTGATGCATCATCTCTAGCTGATGGGGCACCAGTCCAAGTTACTCAGTTACATTTCAGGCTAAACAAAGCATGGAAAAGAATTTCCATTGTTTAGCTGCTTCTACTGGCAAGAAATGACAAAGCAGCATTTACCAGGATGCTGCTGACAAACGATAAGCCAGAATCCTGAGAGTGGCCATTAACAGGATGTAAGACCCTGTTGTGTTGATTCTCATTGGAAGCTTCAAGGGGTTCAGATTATCAGTAACAGTATTTTAACACCTTTTGCAGGAAATGCAGTGGAATGCTGTTAACAGCAAAGACATCCCGACAGAGTTTATTAATTTGTAATAAATCAGTTCTGGGGAGATAGCCAAGGCTGCTTAATGGGAGTTTGCACTTAAACAAAAGTGAAAAATTCTGATAATTTTTCTTCACTACTTTGTCTTTTACAAAGTTCCTTTCTGTAGAGACATTTCTATGTGCTGTTCCTCTGTACATGTAGCGTCTCCAATTTCATTTTTTAGATGTGAACTCTGTAATACAGAAGCAGCAAAATACAGATGCCCTCGATGTATGAAATATTCATGCAGGTAGGTATAAACCAAAGACCTGTTTATTTTTTTTAATCTTAGGTACTGAAAATAAAATAACAGTGTTTCTTTGCTTTTGTGCTTTCAGTTTGGCTTGTGTAAAAAAACATAAAGCTTTATACAGCTGTAATGGAATCAGAGAAAAAGCGGCCTTTGTTTCAGTGAATGAGTTCAGCAACTTAACTCTTCTAAGTGGTAAGAGTATTAGTCCAATAAAAATACTCAAAGTACTGTAGGGCTTGGGATAAGCAATGATCTACACTAGTGCAGTGTGCTATATAGTTTGTTTGTTTTTTAATAGAATTATAAAATTAATATTTTTTTGTAAACTCTTGCTACTGTGCCAATAGTAAGCTCCTTTTTACTATACTAGCAGTGTGTAGTTTGTCCTAGTATCCTAAAACAAACACAATAGTATGTCGGATAGAACACAAAGATAGGTTGAGAATATTTTGGACTGAGAATGAGGCAATGTAAGTATATTTCTTAAAAGAAATCTAATCCTAGCACATACAGACTTAAAATTTCGCAGACTCCAAAGCTTGAAAAAATACTTGAAAAACAGGAATGGAATGGGTACATACACTGCACTTCTGAGCAATAATAATAATAAAATTTATTTGCAGTCAGTGACTAGTCAGATCTAGCATACACTAATACCATCAAAACAGCATAGAGAATTTTAAAAAATCAGAATAAAATATGAAACCCCAGCTTCTCCTTAAAGAAATTTCTCTTCTCCTGGGGTTGTATGGTAACTTTATGATTCCAGGAAAAAAGCATGTTTGAGTAAGAAAAAAAACAACAACTCTGAAGTTTTCTGACTTTGAAAATAATAATAGCTTTACTTAAAAGGTATTGCAAAATCTTAATTGCTTCTGGTTCAACTACATTCTTATACATACTGAATATTTTAATGCTAAAGACACTACTTATATGTGGGTTCTTTATATTTTTACATATCAGCATCACTTTTATTTCAGTAAAATATCTCCTTGCCTTTTTCCTTGTTTTTCTTCTTCAGATTATCGATATCTAGAAGACGTGGGAAGAATGACTGACCGAGCTGCTCGAGATACTATTTCTCATAAACCCAAAAGCAATCGATTTGTAAATATTCTAAATAAATTAAATGTTTTATATTTTTTTCAACTAGAAAAAAAGATTGGGAATGTAAATAATGAAAAGATAAGCATGGAAGATCACATTATATTCAAGGTTACCTTGAAATGGATACGCTGAACAACATTTGAAGATTGTTGTAAGGAAGTTTTGAGATACAGATATTGTTAGAAGAAAAAGATGTTAATCTAAACTGAGTTTAGTACCTCTTTAACCTCAGGAAAATAATTGTTGTACTGTGGTAATTCTTAATTAAAATATAGCAACTGTGTTCATATTGGCAACCCAACAGTTGGGAGAATACTACTCAGTATGGCATATTGTTTTTATTTGGTTATTTTATATATCATCATTTTTTCCAAGCTAACAAAATAACAAAAGTTCATCCTCCTCCAGGACAGAATGTTATCCCTTTCCCATTAGGTCAACAGAAAAGGGATTGAAAGTCTCACAGTTTTCAACTTAATAAATCTAAGGCCATTATATTCATTTGGATTTGGCTTAGTATGTTGTAGGCGTCCAGGTATTTGAGTTTGAAAGCTGTGTTTGTGGCTTAGTATGGTATATGAACTTAACCGATTATAAGTCTTTCAGTAGATCATGGCTTGCTAGCCTTGAAGCTGGCCTTTCTTCAGCCTGGGCAAGAGAAAGCTGGCAGTAAACTGACTGGTATGATGATACAGTCTTAAACTCAAGTTTTGAGAATGTTGTACGGATGGCTCCTGTATCTGACCTCTGTATTCTTCCATATACCCCATGCAAAGTCAAAAATGACCTCCCTTCAGAAATATTAATTTTATAAACTACTTTAGATGTTCAGAGTATTTTGTAGAGATGTTGAGAGCCTTCTTTTAAGCAATATCAGAAGTTACACTTCTGATAGCCTGATTATTATTATTATTATTATTATTATTATTACTATTACTATTACTATTACTATTATTATTTCTCTCGGCATTTACAGTCATGAGTAAAAAAGGGATGAGGCTTTGATTATAGATGTGGCAGATAGTTGGTCTTTTTGATACACATACAAGTAGTCCTCAACAAATGTCCATAATGGAGCCTGCCCTTTATGACCTTTTTGTGATGGCCATTAAACAAATCACCAGAGTCATTAAGTGTATCTGAGGTCATTAAGCAAACCAGTAATTCAGTATGGGTGTGGCTTTACCAAAAACCAGAAGTAAGTATAGTTTTCAGCAGAAACTTTGTAACACGCAGTCACATGTGACTGTATTGCCAAGAACCCAAAGTTTAGACCCATGACTATGGAGTGGGCCTGACCATTGGAACTTTAAATCCAGATCATGTCCCCTTATTCAGGTTGATTGTAACTTTGAACAGGAGTGCATATATCCCTGCATGGAAGCTCCTGCTGTTGTCTTTGTTAAGTTTGAAGGAAATAGAAAGGAAAGAAAAAAGGACAAAGATAAATCACAAAGATTACTAGAATGCCCTTGGAGGAGCTAATGTACTGAAGACACTTCAAAATGAAGAGCATTTCTTCATGTTTGCCATTCAATGGTAAAATTCTAGAGCAGGGGTGTCAAACTGCCAGCCCGTGGGCCGGTTGCATCATGTGGAGGCCGCACCCACCCCAGTCCTGGCAATGTGAAAAAAGTCGCAATACGTTGCGACACGTCACGTGACACAGCGAGTTTGACACCCGTGTTCTAGAGCTATAAATAAGCCTATATTCTGCATAAAACAAGTGATACACAGAATTTTGCAGGGAGCATTGTCCCACAGAAAAATCTTCCATTTTATTGTTTGAAAGATGTGTTTTTCCACCTTTTTTCCCCCCTCTTTGATAATTGCTGCTGGTAGAAGCAGGAAGTGTGTCTGCAGAATGATTAGGTTGAGTGAATGTAGAAAGGAAAATGGTTAAGCTGTTTGGTTTCACTTGGAAGCATCTATTCGGAAGCAGTGCTGACACTATTCGGTTTTGCTGAATAAAGACAGCTTAAGGGAATAACGGCTAGCAAAGTGGAAATTTCTCATTTAGAATTGCAAGAAATAACTAGAGAGATAATACAGCAATAGGTTTTCAAGGGTTTGCTTTTGATTTGTGTAGGAAACTTGCTATGCTTTGCAAGCACCCTGTAAGCATGTGAATGCCCATAGATGTTTCTTTCAATGTATGCTAGGCGCTCTGCCTCATCTGATTTTTGATATTCTATAGATGTAGGGCAAGTTTGAAAGTACAAATTTCTTGCATATTTATTTCCATACGCGACTTAAGCACTTTCACAATTAAAATATAATTAATCTGTAAATGAATGATTCATTAGAAAGGCTCATACATCTCAAGAGCAGTAGAAAGATTCCATAACAATTGATAAGATGGAAAGGAGCAGCTTCATTTCTTTGTATTTGGTTAAATAAGCATTTGATGACTGAGCATGCCGATTGCTGGCAGCTATTTGTGCATAAGAATATACAGACTGTCCCCAAAGGAGCCGTTTTGTGAAATAGCTTGTTTTTCATATCTGTGACTTTACTGTGGATCTGTGACTTATTTTTATATGCAAGAATTAGATTTAAGTGTGACATTGAAAATCTTTAGAGCATTGTTAAGGGTTTCTGGGATTTGAAGTCCACACATTTTAATGTTGCTAAAATTGAGAAACATCGATATAAAGAGACAACTTGTAAATCCTTGTTAAGGTGAAAAGATTATCATTTCTGGTACTGAATATTAGTATATAAACATAGATCTCATATAATTTTATCCAATATAATTTCATGCGATGTTAACACGGAATTTAAGTTCTGTTAAGTTTCATCTAATGTAGCCCTGCAGAACTGTATGCTTTTGAAGGCACATTCATTTGTATAGAACAGTCAACGCCTTCTTTATGTATGCCACTTAAAAATTAAATGAAGGCATAAATAAATAAAATCAAGTTACAGTTTTATGAAGGGGGGTTATTTTACTGAGTGGAGTTATGCAAGCCTTTTGAAAGAGTTGTTTCAGAACATTTGGGAACGCGTATAAACCCTTTCTTTTTGGCTTATTAAAGTAGCCACTTCTTTTTCCAGGCTTGCACAGCTGCTTTAGAAGCTGCTTCCTGTTATTTCTGCTGTGTGAAATGCACACATGCAGAGGCAGCTGGAGAAGCTGCTGAAACCACCTGCAAAATGGCCCTCCTTGAATGATTTGAAAAGAGCTACTGTGTACCCATCCCTGTTTTTTCTGAAGCATTTCTTCCAAAGGATTTGCACAGCCCGTTACTGAGATAATAATGCATATACTCTAGGTAAATTCAATCATTTTTGAACAGCCAATTCTACAAGATAGGACTTTGAGAATTGTTGCTGCTGGATATATTTTCAGTCTTCCTAACCTTTAGTGATTTAGTCCCATATATTGAAGGCAAAGCCTTAGAGCAAGGGTGTCAAATTCGCAACATCACGTGATGTGTCACGACGTATCGCGACTTTTTTGCCGTTGCCGGCAATGGGGTGGGCGCGGTTTCGCTATGATGCATTCGGCCCACGGGCCGGCAGTTTGACACCCCTATAGAAATATGCTATATGCTCTAGCCCCATATAGAAATGGTTGAACATCTCATCTATTCTGTGAAACATGATGCATCTGATTTCGGTTATGGTTTACTTTTAGAAAAGTAAGTTTGTAAGAACAAATTTTGCACTCCTGTGTTTTATAGTTGGGTCATGAGGAGGTTAGAAGATTTTTCTGCTTTAGTGACTAAAATTTAAGCTTAATCTTCACTATGGTTTATTGAAACAAGATTTAGACATGACAAATTAAATGAAAGCAAAAGATTCCACGATTCTCTTAGTTTCTGGGTCTTGAACGTGTGAAGCTTGGCCTAGTAGAGCTAAACCATAATTTCTCAAAATAATTCTTTAAAGTAGTTCACATTTTAAAGCAATTCTTATCCTTGCATTTGAAAACCCTGCATCTCTCATCAGGTAAACTTTCTGAGAAACCGAGCTCGGAGGTGCAAGATCTGCTTGCAAACTTTACCGATTGGCTTCACAAAGAGACGAGAGAATTCTACTTTCTATAGCAATAAGTAAGTTTCTGGCTACTATTATTAGCATGATGTTAGCTCAACAAAGTCCTTCATTTTAAATATGGCTTTTATGTGTAAGTGTCTTAAGGCGAGCAAGTGATAAAATTCAGTGCAATGTCAGATATATTCTGTCACTTACATACTTGGTGCACACATCACAACACAGGTCTGAAAGGGTGTCTTCTTGATGCATCCTAATAAAACATTATCCTGCTATAACAGTGATGGCGAACCTTTTAGAGACCGAGTGCCCAAACTGCAACCCAAAACCCACTTATTTATCGCAAAGTGCCAGGGCTGCAACAGCATTGTGGTGCCCTCAGGTGGGACAGGGGAGGGCATGGGCCACTGGGTGGGTGTGGCTGCAGTGGTTATGGCAGACTGGGTGAGTGTGGCCGGGGCCAGTCCCTCACCATCTCCGGGGCATCCCCGGGGGGCCAACGCCGCTTGCTCGCTCACTTCCTGCCCTATCACTTCCAAACGCCACGTGCTCACTACTCTGGTGAACTCTGCTGGGGCAACGGTGCACGTGCTCACAGAGAGGGCTCTGCGTGCCGCCTCTGGCACCCGTGCCATAGATTCGCCACCACTGTGCTATAACCTTTGAATTATTTTCCCACAGGGGTCCTGATTGCTTATCACCATTCTGAATCAAGTTGCCCTTTGACTGATTTATATTTATGTTGTTTTCTCAGTGTGTACTATGTTCAGTATGCATTTAATCTTGTCATCAGTATATTGCGATATTAGCAGTAGAATGATATAAACTTTCTAGCTTTATTGCAGGGAATTATGGAAAAGAAACATGATTTTTTCATCAACAAGGAGATGCTAATACACTTCATTGATTTCAAGGAGCATAACTGTGAATTAGATAGGAAGGGAAGCTTTTATGTAACAACAGATAAATCTATAAATTGTGTCTGCAATATTTATACACAAATGTTATACTCTGTCTTCCTAGCACAGTTTGTTTTAATAACTGTTCTTTCAGTGGATGAAATAGACATTGATCCACAAAAGCTTATGCACAAGGCTTTTTGTTTCTTGCAAAGAGTAACTTGGCTATAATTCTGGAAACCAGTAGATGGCTCTCTTGCAAATATTTCATATTATTATAAGGCATTTGCAAGAAGAAATTAGCATACTGGCCAATATACTTCTATGCTCGAAGTAGAAATCTGTATCTAAGTAGGAATATCACAAAAACATGCAAAACTTCCAGCTTTAGTGATCAAGACAGTGTCAGATTAAAATTTGCAAAAAAAGTTTGTAAATTTTGCAATAGAAACATGCTCATTTTGCTCCTGTTTTCAGCAGCATGGCTCAAATACCTTTCAGTTCTGTTGAGTGAGTGAATACAGATCATTGTAGCAATAAGGTGATCACTTATAAAAGTTTTGCTTATACAGTGAGCTGTGCAACTTAAAATCTTTAAATATTTATTTCAGATGCTGACTTAGGACAAAAATGTTGATCAACTCCTAGGATAATGGTGTTGGTTGCTAAAAAAAAAAACCTGACTTATTTCTAATTATATCAGAATGTTATGTAATCTTACTAGATATAATCAGGCATCATAACTCTTTTGATATTCAATTTGAACCATTATTGTTCCTATCACCTCTTCCCAAAAAGCAGGTTGAAAGAATAACCTAGTATTCCCTCATTAGAAAGTTACTACCTAAGAGTATTTGGCAAGTTCAGTATCCTGGTAACAACATGGCAGTTAGGTGACAAGTCATGCTGAAGAGAAATTTGTCTCTCTTTGGGAACATTTTTTTAATACTACATTTCCACTGTTCACAGTGGGAGGAATATACTGTAGGAGTGCGCATGGAATGTGCACCTAGAGAAGCTACAGGAAACAGTTTCGGCAAACCAGAGCTTTCCCAGAGAGAGGTCCAGATTAAGAGATTGCGCATTTCTGAGCTGAATGGGGGGGAGGAGAAAGAGGTTTAGGGTAACCCCACCTTAGAACCTTTCAAGATGTACAGTATCTCATAAGTTATGCCATGAGTTTGGCAAGCTTGATATCAGGCCCAAGCCCAGAGTTGGGTTCAATCCTTTTTTTGCTTACACCTAATGAATAGAATCTTGCTCAACTCAAGCCATAACTTTCTAACCTATTAAATATATCCCGAGAGGGTCTAAGATGTGGCTGTCCTGAAACTCCCATCTCTCCCCTCCAGCTAAGGACTGTGCAGTCTCTTAATACAATCCTCTCTCTGGGAAAACTCTCTGTTGTCAAAACTCTCCCACTGCCAAAAGCACAGACCACACAGTCACATACAAGACTGATATGTGGCCCCTCTAGTAATGATTGTGGTCTTAGAATTTCACCTATCATATTTGTACTTCAGAGATTGTAGTGTTAAAAAAATACATTTTTGACAGTTTGATATGCTCCTTAATCACTTAATGAGGCTGAATCAGTGTTGCTGTGGTTTAGAAGAGCATAAAAGGTAATAGTTTTTGAAAAGTGAGGTAATTGTGGGTTTAACTCTGTATGCTGCCTGTAGTCACCATGTGTGAGTTGGGCAGCCATATAAGTTTGTTTAATAAATAAGTTTTGATGAATTGGAATTAGGGATGGAAGTTACTTTGTTCATTGCTTATTTCTCCTTGAGCTGCTACTTCCCATTGTTTCCATTGGCAGAGTCCACAGACTTCTGTGGCATACTTAAATATAAAGCAACAACTTTCTGAACCCTCAGTTATGTCTTTTTTTATGGCCCTTTTTGAATAGAATTAAGGATTGAGTTTATGTTTGAGTATTAATATGGCTTTCCATTCCTATGATTTCATTGTTGTCTTAATGAACCACAATAGTACTTTTTGCAACATCATGGGGTTTCTAAAAAAACACATAATCGAATTGGCTGAAAGACAGATGCTTGCATGTAAATGGCTTTTGTCCAGTGAACTTATGATTCATGCTTAATTCAACTGATCAGTAGTTAAAAAGAATAACCCCTATTCACAATTACTTTGACTTAACTCTTTTTTAGCTGCTGTCCATGTAAATACAAAAATTGACATAGATAATTTCTGGTTAAAGTTTCCACATCTTTCATCTCTTTTTCTTTTGCCTAAAGAATCTTGTAATGATTCTTACTTTAAAAACAGCTAAATTTGTTCCATAATCTCGTGAATTGCAATGGCCTAATTAAATTTTCTGGGTAAATACTCATTTAATTCCCTTTTTCATCATGCTGATTTTTTTCTAAGAAAAAGGGAGACTGTGGCACTGGGCAAACAAACAAACAAACAAACAGGGTGAAACAAACATTCCAAGGGAAACTTAATAAATGGTGAAGCCCAAGCAAGACCTCTCTCCTCCAAGCATTAGTCACTGCATCCTCTGGGAGACTGGCTGCAGTTTCCTGAGTGTTCCCCCCCCCCTTGTCTTTCTGTATATTGATCCACACATGCTTCACTGATGGCCCACACAGCCCTAGAAAAGAGCTATAGGATATCAACATTCACTTTTGAAAAATTCTAGAAGCCGGAACTTACGTTATCAGATATAGGCTGTACTTATCCCTGATTTAATGTCTTGTTTATAAATCTCTTGAAAGTGAAAACTATGGTTTCTATGTTTTTTTTCTGTCTTGTCTCTATATTTGGTGAAGGGCTTTAATGCTTTTATTCCCACCCTTATTGTTGAAATTCAGTTAATGTGGCTCTAAATTTTGTTGGCAAAAGAATTTCTGGAGACAGTTTTCCTGTGCATTAATAGAACGAAAGCATCAAGTGAAAACATCCAAATGTAAGATGCAACCAATAAAGAAGAATTGCAGGATAATGTGTTTGCAAATGAATACAATAGATACATGATAAAATCCTATAGAACACTGGACTCCAACACAAATTTTGCTTCCCTTACATACCAAAGGAGGTGAAGTATAAATTGTGCCTTTTCTGAGAAAGAAGAAATAGTGTTGCACTGATAATTAAGATTTGCAAAAGGCTTCTACATTTTGTCAGCAGAATAGAAATTGAAAAGATAATTTCAGAATCCTATGTTGCTGCTAATTAATACAATAGAAAGAGATTTGGTAGAGCATAATTTGTTCAAACAGTTAAGGGGCAAATAGGCAACCCTCAATCAGAATAAAGCTAGAAGGGACCTTGGAGGCCTTATAGTCCAACCCCCTGCTAAAGCAGGAGACCCTATACCAGTGGTGGCAAACCTATGGCACGCGTGCCAGAGGCGGCACTCAGAGCCCTCTCTGTGGGCACGCGCATCATGCCCCAGAGATGGCAACCGTCCCTCTTCAGCCACCCACTAACTCGCCGAGGTCCCACATGGCCGGATGCATCACAGCACCAATGCGCTCACTGGCCTCTGTGTGCAGGGGCTGATGGTGTCAGGCAGCAGCCGCCCCAGCCTCACCTTGCCCTGTGACAATGGCACTCCCGCCCTGCCTTGTCTTGCCTCGACTCACCCAGCAGGACGAGCCTCCTGCCCATCGCCTCACCTGCCAGAGACCCCCTGGATCTCCCCCAACCCTGCCCAGCCCCCACAGGCGTCCCTCCCACGAGCAACATCGAGGTGATCACGCCCAACTTGGCCACACCCACCCAATCTCCCATGACCACCACAGCCACGCCCACCCAGTGGGCCATGCCCACCTGGCACCCGGTGATAAATAAGTGTGTTTTGGGTTGCAGTTTGGGCACTCGGTCTCTAAAAGGTTCGCCATCACTGCCCTATACCATGTCAGACAAGTGATTGTCCAGTCAAAGGTGTTTTTAAATTTATGTGAATAAGTACATAATCTGACTATCCACTGCTGTTTAAAAGACCAATGTGCTAGATGAAAGTATAACCCAATAGTATTACACCGTAACTCCATAAACCTCTATCTGCATTCTGCCTAGATGTTCATGGAAGTTAAAAACATGTACATCAGATTATCACAAGATTGATAAAATTATGTCAGTAACTAATTCATCGTTTGTATAAATTAGTTCCCAGAAACCTAACTCTGAAGAAGCACCTTGTTATGGTCCTACATTACAGATATAATTCCAACATTTAGTTGTACATCGTTAGGTAAAGGTAAAAGCCAACAAAGACACTTCACACTTTTTGAGAACAGCTTCGGCATACATACTATCTGTCGTCTCCAAGTCCCCTTACTACTTTGTATTGTATTTGTAGAAAAGAAACAGACTTTTCAGAACTTCTTTGCAGTGCTTGCTTCTCTTTATTCCCCTTCTGTTTATACGTGCCAACTTCTTATTCTAGTCATGAGTCAACTTCCCTCCTTTCTAAAAATGTTAGTTGCTTTCTTCCAAAAATCGTTCTTTTTTTCAGATTATTACCAGTCTGCTTGGATAATTTATCAAGTAAAATTATTTTATTTCATCCTAGCAAAACATGCATCTTTATTTCTAAGTAAAGATTGAAAAATGCTATGCATATTCTCAGGCTGTTACATCCAACAACTTGGACGTAGTATTTCATCGTACCTAGGAACAGACTGATCTACACTGCTTCTGTTTGCGATCTGCTGACAGAATGTTGTTTTATTACCCAGAGATCAAAATAATTTTACACCCGTAGCACTGTATTGTTTTTATTTATTTATTAACATCATACTTGTGATACTTGTGTTTATACATACGTACATGTGTAATGGGAAAAGAAACATCAATCCTTAAATATAAGGAAAACAGCAGTTAAGTTTAAACCATATTAAAAAAAAGTAGAAGAAACTTTGTATTTAGAGCCATGGGGAAGTACTTGATTTTCCTGCCTGTTGGGTTATATTTTGGTGGGAACAATTTAAGACTTTTGATATCTCCCCAAATGAACAAGCCCTGAACAGGTTTCTCCTACTTCTTAACTTGTTTTGAATTTTCTCTCTCTCTCTCTCTTTATTACAATTGCATTTGTAATAAAAAGAATTTTAAGGATCTGTACTGTTTTCTTTTTTTCAGGGAACAAAAGTTCTACTGGCACTTGAAGCTTATATTTCCTCAGAGTCATGCTAAATTCACAGAACAAAGGTATTCATACATACTTGCCAGCAAATTTACTTTCACTGAAGTTTATATAATTCTGTAATTAAATTATTTAAATAATTTCTGGATTATATTTTACAATTACATTTGAGTTTTTTTGTCTGGAAAGAAGACACAAGCTTCTGAATAAACAAATTATTGGGATATTTCTCTTTGAACTATTTTAAAATTGCATATCATCTTATCTACTTTTAGCTTTATCTGTGTAATCTAGGAAGCTTTAAATCGAGAAAGCATGGCTTATTGTACATACTATTTTTATATGGCTATATCCTGTATTACAATCTTGGTGTGTAACCTAGTAAACATCATCCCTCAAGCACTTTCTTCGGTTTCCTATCTAGAAAAGAATATACAACAGGAAGATTTATTTAAAGATGTGAAAGAATTATTTCAATTGGACTAAATAACTGGAACAGGAAAAATTTAACAAAGTATTTTTGGTATCTTGGATATGAATTCCTAAATTTTGTGTGTGTATGTGTGTTTGTGTGTGTATGTGTATATATATATATGTGTGTGTGTATGTGTGTATATATGTGTGTGTGTGTGTGTATATATATATATATATATACACATATACACATATACATATGAATGAACTATATATAGCTGAAACAGAGGAAATCATAAAACTACATACAGTACATATTAATGTGATGCTAACTGGTTTGTCTATTCCTACAAATATCTTCACTGATGATTTGTATTTCTGGATAAAGGGTCCCAGATGATAAACCTTTGTGTGATATTTTGAAGACATATATTGATCCTCAAGAAGCTGATCCTGTCAAGCAGCAAAGGTACTTCCTTCTACAAAATATTTGTATTTTCTATTATTTCAGTGTATTAATACAGTGTATTGTGTATATTATTCTTTTGGTTGGTTTCTCTTGCTGAAACAACAGGTTTTAAAGTTTCTGTATTTTTTGTTATGTGATTTTTTTAAATGTTAATGGTTTTTATTGCAGATTAAAAATCTACACAGTGTCTCCCCAGTCAGACATACAAATTTTGTTGAAAGTAGAAAATAGGCCTCATAATTCTATCAGGTAAGAATTTTAATTTTATTGTTATTAAAGGGAACAGCATATCTACTTAGGTTACAGATAATCAATTGATGAAGTATGAGATGATCAGAGATTGGATTTTTTAAAAAGAGAAAGATTCAGTATTGTGTAAACAATATTTTTCTCTCTTCAAAATGGTAATATCCAAAGAAGGCCTACAACTTATGCAGAGTACCTACTTTACATAAACATACTTTACATGGTTTGATTCTGGGTAGGAATTGAGAAGACTCTTGTGTGAAACTATTTTTTAAAAATGAAGATCACTGCAAATCTTTAAGCTATATGTACAAATGTAAGGCTTCTTCATGGCTTCTTGAGGATCAATATATGGTGTATCAATCGATGTAAGGCAGGGGTGTCAAACTGTCGGCCCACAGGCCGGATGCATCATAGCGAAACCGCGCCCACCCCATTGCCGGCAATGGCAAAAAAGTCGCGATACGTTGCAACATGTCACGTGACGTTGCAAGTTTGACACCCCTGTTGTAAGGCAATTCCGTTATTGTATTGTATTTACATTGTACTGTATAATACTATTATAGTTTCATTATATTACATTCTTATTTTATTAGGAAATAAAATAAATTTATAGTTATTGCAGATGGTGAAAGGAATTTATTTTCTCTTTACCTTGGTCTGTGCTGGAATTCGCTTCTTCCCTGTATAGCTTTGGTCAGATATAATATTTTTTCCATGCAAAATGGATGATGATGATGATGTTGTGAGGATGATATTATTAAACATATTGGGTCATCTTGGAAATTGTTTACTCAGTACAGTAATGTGTTTAATAATCCTCTCTCCGGTAAAAACAATAGGGTTTGCAGCTTCCCTTGTTCTTTTTTTGAAACTATGTGACTGATGGTTAAGAATCCATAAGACATTAAAATACTGTCAATATTGTAGAAGCAAATTTGCTTGACAGATGACAAACCCATCCCACCTATGATAGTGACATCTATTCATAGAACTCTTTTGATATCAGCTTCCCTTTTTCTTTGTCTGAGGCAGAGGGAAAAACCAGAAATGATTCCAGAGATTAGGAGAATCCATAAATGATTAATCTTACTCATTCTCACAAGTAAAATATACAGCATAAAAAGGCTAATTCATTGTCAGACAAAAGGAAAAGAAAATAGAGATTTTAAGAAAGCAGGCAGATTTTTTAGAGGAAACAGTGAATAGTTGCGATATTACTGATGGCACAGAGATCAGAAGCAATTTGGTAGCACCTTTTCAACTACAGTTAATACATTTTATTAAATGTGTTTATTAAAATGCTTTCATGAACTGCACCTCCCTTCATCAGATGTCTAGATTGGCTAAGCTGATGTTGAATAAGGAAATGGTCAAAGGGGGGAAGATACTTGGTTATGCAGATGAAGATTACATGAGAGTTACAAGTACCTTATTAATCATCAATTCAGAGCAGGGACAATACACTGTTGTTCCTTGGTTATGTTTGCAGGTTCTTAAATTCCTGTTAGATATAGCTATTTGTCTTCTTCAGAATTAATCCTTTTGTCCAACACAGTATGCTTGGAATGCCTTAGTAATGATTTCATACAGTAGGATTATTGCTTTTTCCAGTAAGGGAAGGAAAGAAGCAATTGCCAAATAATACAATCTGGTTGGGGAACTACATCTTCTTATTTTCCCAAGTGACTTTCCAGAAAAGGTTTATTGAGTAATAGAAATTATTGTACTCAATAAAAGACGTGTTTGCGATAATATATATATATTTGCCTCATCATGTATCACAAGTAATTGATAAGGCTTTTTGATACCTGAATAAATTTTCTGCGCACTACCTCTTATATGTGTATGGTTTCAGATATTCCTTCAGAAGTGTTGTAGGAGCACTTATAGTACGATGTCAGTGAAGAAGTAATTGTTGAACTTTGGTTCCTTTGTATGATGACTAAGCTGTTGGGTTGTGCTACATCCTTGATATTTCTTAGACACACACATATTTGTTGTGAAGAATATCTCCTTGTTTTGTGTTTTAAGACCTAAATATTACAATTCTAAATATTGAACTAGTCTTTAGCTAACTGCTAATTTAATTTTCTTTTGGATAGCTAAACAAAGTACTGATATTTATTTTTTCTTTCATTGCCAAATCTGTCTTGAGGATTTCCAGTTATTATATGCCAACGTGATATTACAGCAATCTTTCTTTTAAACTGGTGATGGTTTGCATCCATCTTCTACAATCTTCAAATTTCTAGTCCCACTACTCCATATATCTTTCTATAATCTTTCCCACGATGTTTGCTGGTGAGAAAATGCAATGTAAAACATAGTTTCAGGATTTTGCTTCATGACTGACTTTTATCATACCCTTTTTGTTCCCAAAGGCGTTTATTACATTTGCTATAACTTTTTGATTTCAGTTCTGTCAATGCTGTTTGCTTTGCAATTGTCCACCTTTAAATGAGGAATTATTAAATAGTGGACACTCTTTGATTTTTTAAAAAAAATGTTTGGTGGTTTATGTGTCATTGAATTTAATGAACCTTACCGTCATAGTTTAAAATTTTGATTTCATATAGGAATTCTGTAAATACTTAGTAACAGTTGAGCCACCTGCAATTTTGAAAGTAATATGTTGAGGAAACATTTTAAGAATTACATTTTTATTTACATTATTTTTTTAAGAAACACAAGATTTTCAATTTATTACAAAGCTATGAATAGCTAAAGGGGGAAACAGTTTAGGAACCTTGTTCATATTTCTCTTTTTTCAGTATTCTATCAGTATTTTCATTTAATGCTGAGAGCCTGTTTTTGCCTCATTTCCTTAAGAGATATACTTCCTTATGTATTTCAATATATTTTTGATGTGCTATGTTAGCAAGAATCCATTACGTTCTTCAGTAAAAAAAACTGTCATCTAAATTCATTCAACAAATAGTGCTCGGTCTTCTCCATTTGCAATTGCACTATAAATAGATACCTTATGCTTCCTTAGATTGCACAAGATTGTAGATTGGCATCTTGAATATCAAAAGTGGAATGCTAGCAGCAGGTAATATTTACATTCACATAGGCATCTCAAGGAACTAGCAAATGAATTCTGTACCTGAATATCCTGAATTTCAATCTGTGTTTTGTTTTGTTTCTCTTGTCTAAAAGCCAATCACAGAAATCAAGGCTTTTCTTTACTGATAAATTCAGGAAGAATTCCAAAAAAAGAAAAAAAAAAGAATGATTTTTAGAACTGCAATTTTTTAGCTTCACATTTTCTCACCAGTTACTTGCTGACACTTTATCCTATCCCATCATGTGCAACCTTTAATACTGTACTTGCCTAGTATTGGTCAGTCATTTATTCATTTACTTTAGTCTTGCCAATAGTATTTTTTTTTTTATCAAACCTGGTAGTTCCTAGCACTACCTCAAAAGCCATCCTATTCTTAAAAGGAAATTTTTAAAGGCAAATGATTGACAAAGCAGCTAAAAAAAACCTCTTTTTTATAAGCAATTACTTGTTAGCATATAAATAATGAACATTCTCAAGAATTATTTCGTACCAAGCTGATTCTTCTGTGACTCTGTGACAAATTTAAAAAAGGTTCACTTTCTAAGCTGTCTTCAGTGTATACCTGTAAGAAGGTAAATGCTACAAAGTATGTAGATATTGTAGAATTTGAACTAGTAATAGTGGATGAATAATTGGGACTAGCCTCAATAATTTAAATTGTTTCTTCCTACTGATTTGAGGTAGGAATTTTGTGTGCTGCTGTCCAAGAGAACCTACAAAACGTATTTTCACTTCTCTTTGCCAAAAGGGAATCCCTCCGTTTTATCTTTTACTGACAGAAATGAACTAGAATTGTTCTCCTGACCTTGTCATGAGAGGTTTGACCTTCTTTCATTGGCAGAGCCATTGGAATATGTTTGTTTTCAAAAGTGAGTGGCTTTTTGGCAGGCAATCGGCAAATAAAAACTTCATAAGAATGCAAAGACCTTATGGGAATGTGAAGTTTAAGAATTTTTTTAAAGACAACCTATTGTATATTAATTGAAGACTTCTTTTATTCATGAAGGGACGTTTGCCAGGTAAGATGAATGCATGGCCTAACAGCACTTTTAATAAAGAGACTTTGTTCTTTTAAAGGTTCTTGTCTCGAATAACTAAAATGTATGCAATACTTGATATATCTGATTTATTTTCTCGTCCTGCTTCATCATAAACGTTACACAGTTTCTAAGACATCCGTTTTATATTTTCATCATAATTCATCATAAGTATAGTTTGGCAAAGACATCAGACTATTTCAATATCTAGCTATCTAAATTAAAATCCATATACCGTATTTTCCGGCGTATAAGACGACTGGGCGTATAAGACGACTCCCGACTTTTGAGAAGATTTTCAGGGTTTAGAAAGTTGTCTTATACGCCGGAAAATACGGTATGTTATTCAAACCACAACTTAAGAATGATTCATAAGGCCTGTTCTGTTACATCACTGTAGTGTTTTCTGGATTTTGTTGTTGCTTCTACTTTCTTTTCCTCTTCCCCAAATTTATTATTATTTATACCTGTATTTTGTACATCACTTTGAGATGATATAGGAAGCAATACTTAAGATTCATCATTTTTGTGCCTTTCAGTCATTAGTAAGATAAATAACAACAAAAACAAAGATCTGCAAACCCAGTCATTGACTGTGTCATGGCAGTCACGGCAGGCAGGTGCCACTAGAAAGTTGCATTAGAACAGAGGAAGGGAGGCTGATCTTGTGAAACTGTTTTTTTCCTATTCCTTCTCAAAAATCACCCAGAAAAAAAATCCCTTTTAACATTATTGGAAAGGTCCTCCACCCAATTTGACTGTAGGAGGGGGAGCCATCGCTACCATCCTTCCTCGGTTGACCCCTCTCCTGAAAATGGTTTTCCTCTTCCAAGTGGGCATCCCACTCTATCAACTGAGGCGAGGTTCACCAGAAGGCAAGTTTGAAGCTCAGAGGA